ATGGATGGGGTGGGAATGGGATGGGATTTAAGGTTTTTTTTTCCAACCCAACCCATTGTGGGATTTTTGGAGATGGGAGCTGTGCTGTGCTGAGCCCCTGTGTGGAAATCCTGGCATTACTGGAAGTTTGTCCTAAACCCATTCCCTGTGACTTGGCTCACTCCTGCAATTTTTCCAGTTTTCTTTCAAGATCCCTTCCAACCCAAACCATTCCATGGTTCTGTCATTTTGTCCATAAATCCTGGAAAGGGCTGAGAGGGGAATTTTGGGGGGGATTTGATTTGGGGTTTCACCACCGGAGATTTTTTTTTCCCTGGTCCTGGACACACAAATCCCCATTTTTGGGGGTGGGGTTGTGCTGATTCCATGGGCGGCTCCTCCTTGGGCTGGACCAGCCCCTCTGGGATGGGAGGCTGAGGAATTTGGGATTTGCAGGCGTTCATCCCCCCCCTTCCCTCCTCAAACAGGGAGCAAAAATCCCCAAATCGTTTTATTTGGATTTATTCCCACCAGCAGCTCCTGGGAACGCTGCTCAGGGCTGAGGCAGGGGAGGAGGATGAGGAGAATTCCCAGGGATTTTCTTTCCTTGGAAAACTTTGGAAATTCCTTTTCACACTTGACTTTTCCAGCTCCACGGAGGTCGATGACATGATCAGAAAATCCACAAACCTGCTGCTGACCCGGACCCTGAGCAACTGCTTACAGAATGTCATCAAGAGGAAAAACGTTGGCCTGACAGAGGTGGGATGAGAATTCCCTTGGGAATGGAGGGGACAGGACCCAGGGAATGGCTCCCACTGGGAAAGGGGAGATTGGGCTGGGATCTTGGGAAAGAATTCCTGGGAAAAGAATTCCCAGATTTGCTGTGGCTGCCCTTGGATCCCTGGGAATGTCCAAGGTCAGGGTTGGATCCACCTGGGACAGTTGAGGTGTCCCTGAACACGGATGGGGATGGGAATGGGAATGGGATGGTTCTGGATTTGGGATTTAGGATCTTTCCAACCCAAACCATTGTGGGATTCTGCTCTGGGAGAGCTGGGAATGTTCCCCTGGAGAAGGGAAAATTGCAGGGAATGCTCAGAGTCCCTGCAGGGGCTCCAGGAGAGCTGGAATTGGGGACAAGGCCTGGAGGGACAGGACCCAGGGAATGGCTCCCACTGGGAAAGGGGAGATT